TGGTGATGATTGTTTCAGCTCTTCCTCTTCTTCTTTGTGAAGGTCCCAGCCCTACAAAGCAGACACCAAAGCGAATCACACCATTGCACTGTTGTGCCACCAGCCAGGGTCTCATCTCCCCAGGGAGTTTTCCAGTGCTGCTTGCTTGCTGCTTTCTTCTTGGCTTTTTTTTTTCTTTGGCTTTCAACACACTTTGGTGAAAAAATGTGTGTGAATCATTTTTCATGAGAAACTTCCATTGCAAAAAGTGCTTTTTTTAGGAACTCAGCATTTTTATAAGTGAAATGCCAGAAATCTCACAAGCTGAAGCTGAAATGTGCTGGTTGCAACATTAGGTGCTAACAGTTGGCAAAGCTTGAGTCCCAGTGGCTAAAACACCAGAGAAAATGGCAGACAGTTCCTTGGCTTTTAAATCTGGGCTGGCTCGCCGGTGTGACAGGAGGAGAGAGGGTAGGACTCGGCTCAGGCTGGTTGGCTGTGATTGACACGTTTCATGGACAGCTTTTTATGGCTCTCATCATGGTGACGTTCTGATTGCCTCCCCAGCGCTAATGAAGATCTCCTGTCATGGGCCTGCAAGGTAGGAAAATATTATTATCTCTCATTTCCAGATGAGCCTGCTCCACGTGGATACATTTGCCTGACATCACTGGCCCGTGTGACAGTGGCAATGACATGACCCATGAAGGTGGTGCTGGTGCTCCTGATCCCAGGGTGCAGAGGTGGCTGCACGGGGCTGGGGATGGCCCCACGATGGGTCTCAGAGATACTCCTGAAGCCACTAAGAAACCTCTCAAGATCAGCAATATTGTTGGCTGAGAAACGTGGAGCAATTGCTATGTCCACAGTTGGTTTCGTCTTGAAATCATGTCTTGAAAAATAGGTTTTGGGGAGAATTGTCATTGGTTTTGTCTAGAACTCTGAGAATTTTTATAGGAATGCCTGCAAAAAAAATGTGCGTAACGTGCTAGTAACAGTCTCAAGAAAGATGGGAGAGGAGAATTTTTTTTTTTTTTAGAAGAGTAGAAATGAATGGAGTATTTTGTGAGATTAGAAATGTTTGATGCTGGCACTAGCTTGGGGTAAGGTGGGGAGAAATGCTTTTGAAAACCATCATTTGGGATAGAACCTTTCATTTGACAGTTCAGGTCAGTCTTCAGGACACCACCATGGCTGTGAGTGCTGGCTGGGCAGTTTGGCTGCCTGCCAAAATTTTAGACCCTGCAACCTCTTTCGCAGCTTGTTGGGGACATACCTGAGCACCAGGCTCGAGGGTGGGACTTCCAGCAACAGCACTGTGCCAGACACTGCTTGCTCCTGCTTTATTGCCTGTGAGCAGCTGCAAACTGATGACAGACACAAGTGGTTTATAGGCAGACTTGTAGAAAGAAGTGTTGTGTAGGTCAGTGCCACGCTGGGGATGACTTGGTGGCCAGCTACTGAGATGAAGGATGATGCCTCTGCTCTGGTCCCCTTTGACCCAAGCCAAGCAGCAAGCTCAGCTTGCCCTCTGGGTGGAGAGGTGGCACATATGGATTTTGATAACTTTCTTCTGTTTAGAGGTCATTGTCCACTTTAAATATTCATGTTCTGAGGGACATTAAATAAATAATGCTGAATTTGTTAATCTGAGCAGCTTGCAACTTTTGCATTTTGTGTTTTGTTTGCAATCAAGAAGGGATGTAAGGCTGCTAAATCCAACCTGCTCTATAACTAGGAAAGGTTTTGTTGTTCAGACCCTGTTATCTGCTCGCTTTTTCGCAAAGCAGGACTGAACTGGTTTGCAGACAAGCCTTCAAAAGAGATGTCTCTGATAGCTACGGAATGGCTTCCATTTTGGGGGGGGGCAAATAGGAAAAAAACAGTGTTGCAAGTCAACATTTTTGTTTTGATCAACCATCAGTGCCCAACATGAATCACTATGTGAGGTGGTGGGGATTCCCTTTGCTGTCTGCTCTGGCCCTGCTGCAGTCCCAGTGCTCTTCCATGGCTCCTGACAGGGGTGTGGGGCACTCCCCATGGGCATTCATTATGTGGATCCCAATGCATTGCCTGTAGGATCTGCAATAAATGGCAATTTGGAAGAAATCCCTGTGGCATGAGATGGAAAATAAATGTCCATCACCTCACGTTTTATTTTTTCATCTATTTGGTTGGTACCAGAATATCCCACGGTGTCTTGGGAATTGCAGTTCAATTCAGATACTCATATTTGCAAAAGATGGTTAATGGCTATGAGGTTTCAAGGTAGGAGCCTTTCAGTGACATAAGATTTATGTAGGGACAGTTATTATACTTCCTCCTGCCCCCCCCGTCTGCTTCACAAAGAATATGAATCACCAGCTGAAGGCCTCCTCATTTTGTAAATCAGCTGAAACATAACAGTGATGTTGGGAAGTTGTACTGAGTTAACTGAGCTACTTCTCAATCTCAGAGCTTTACATAACCCCTTCTTAACGCACTGTTATTTCCTTTATAGATAGACTCATAAATTACTCCTGGTACACAAAATGCGTGGGAGGCTGCCTGTTTGCACAGCATGGGACCAAGACCTGCACATTCAAATATCGGCAGACAGCTGGAACGCAATCTGTGAAAAGGCACTCAGAGCCTCCAGGTCTATTAAATACAAACTTAGAACATCTACCGAGAATTTTATATCTTGCATTACATGTGTAATGCGAAAAAGAATAGGTGCAATACCCCTGGGACTTTGTCAGTAAATGTCACAGCAGAGCATCCAAAAAATCTTTCTTCCGCGTGTGGGTGGAACGGTGTGTACGCAGAGCTGGGGGGACATATGTGTGGTTGTGCGTGAATGGGTATTTGTGTATAACGATATATTTGAGTGAGGAGGATCAGCCTGTGATAGCTATATTTAATTTAGTATCCCATTTTGTGCTGAACTCTTAACCACATCGAGAGAATTAGGAAATGTGCTGCTTTGGGTTCTGCAGTCGTTTTGCCGCAGTTCTATAAACCCACAATGTATACAGAACCCAAATTGTACTTTTCTGAAGTTATTTGCTTCCTAATGTGGGGAACACCTCCATTATGAACAAAGTTGCCATATCTGCTTCCACAGTATGTCCAATTTACACCCACAGTTTTTAGCAGATGAGGCTGTGAGATGCAGCCATTACACTGATGGGCACAAAGGGAGGCAGGATTGAGACTACAGAGCCACTGGTTCTGCTTCCATTTCATTCCAAGCATTTTATCTTACTGCCTGAATTCTTCAAACACCTGGTTTTGAAATGTAGTCCAAGGGTCACCTCTTATCCCAAACCCTTCAGTGAACATTTATGCTGCTTTTACCTTGTGTAGCTGCACAGACTTGACTAATATATTTCAGTTTCCTGTTACCCACATCCAGTAATCAAAATTTGGAAAACTTTGGAAAAGTTTTACTTTGGCTTTAATCCAAAGGCCACCTCCTGATTAGGCTGGTTTTGATACGTTTCCAGCTGTGAATAAGGCCTAGGTATTAGGGCTAGTCATATGTCAGATTTGATTAGTAGCATAATCCATTGGGCATGGAAACAATTCACTAGCACTTCAAAGCATCTCTGGATGTTAATGGCTTGTAGTTGTTTGCCATGCAGGAGATGGCTGGATATACCAGGATTTTGGAAACAGAGAATCTCATGATGAAAGAAAGAATGCATCCAGGTTTTATCATCTAATCATAGAATAGTTTGTGTTGAAAGGGACATTTAAAGGTCATCTTGTCCAAACCCCCTGCAACAAGCAGGGACATCTTCAACTACTTCAGGTTGCTCAGAACCCTGTCCTGACCTTGAATGTTTCCAGGGATGGGGCATCCACAGCTTCTCTGGACAACCTGTGCCAGTGTTTCACCACCCTCATTGTAAAAAATGTCTTCCTTATATCTCGTCTCAATCTACCTTCTTTTAGTTTGTTGTTTCTTTTAGTTCTTTTAGATATGTTGAAGTGTTGTCCAGGAGCTCGTATTAGGTGAAGATAACTGCAGTGACGTGATTTGTGCTGCAGTTATTCGGGTGCTCAGGGAAGAATTAGGGTTAGTTAGGTTTAAGCTGTACAGAGTAAAGCCAAATAGTACCATTTTCCTGAGCATCCATGGGGCAGTGCCAGGACCTGCTGTGCCAGTGGGGGATCAGACCTGAGCCCATGAGCAGAGTGCTGCAGCACCCAATTGTGCTCGACAGCGGGCACAGGCCTGAAACCATGTCACTGACACCATCCTTCTAGAACTGGGATAAAAACAGCTGAGAAACAAATCAGATTATCTGTACTGCTCCCAAGAAGTTGGTCATCTCTGGGATATTTTTGTTCCTTTGAGGAGTGGTTTGGTCAGGAGAGAAGAACAGAAATGTAAAAACAATTAACGCTCTTGCATGTCCGTTCCAAATCAAAAAGCCTCCCATGGGTTAGGTAAGGGCTGGAAGGAAAGCTTGTTCCCTTGCCAGCCTTGCTGCCTGCTCATGTGTAACATTATTTAGGTTGCACCAAGTTTTGTTACCCTGGTGCATCCTTCAGTTGCTTGGGGATAAAAGCTCTTGCCTACAAGGCCTAACAGATGCAAGGAAAATGCTTTGGGATTTTGGAATCAGAAATGGATAAAAGACCAAATAATTATTTCTCATTGCACTGTTAAGGAATTTTAATAAAATTAGATTTAAGAGGCAGGTATTAGGTATGCTGTGTGTAAGAATCAATTAGCAGAAGAACAACAAGCAGTCATACAGTTTGAGGTTGTTAGCAACTCTTGCTGGAAATATTTGATGAAGAATTTCATGGGCATAAGTTGCCAAGAGACCTACAAATGTCTTCTTGGTTCTATTGGTAGCCTTCTGTTTTTATAGCCATGGGTAAAAAAAAAAAAGAAAAGATTAATGTATCTGGTTTTTAACAGTCTATTCAGGGTGTGGAAAAAAACACCTTCTTACACTTTGCCTTTCAATTCTCCAATAATAAATTAACTATCACAGTTTAAGATGCAATTGTTGTTCTTTTAGGTCTCCAGACTAATGCATCATGACACCTCGATTACAGGAAGTGTGGCTGGCTTCTCCTGCCTCCTCTCTTCTAGGTAAAAACCTGTGATCACATCAGGGGAATATTCACCAGCTGCCTGTGCTGGATTTGCCCCATTTCTACGCCAGGAGCCATGCTAAGGGTCCCCAGCTGTCCCCTGTACCAGTGGAGGGAAAAATACAGGGTACGTGTCCCCACACTACTGTCAGACCTCCCTACTGACATCTTTGAAGATACAATGCTTCTATTTGTGCTCCTGTGTACCTGCTGTCCTTAAAAACTTTAAAAAATAAGAAGAGGGAAATTGCAAAGCCAGTGGACCGAAACACAGTGGTGTGCAGTCAGAAGTTGGTGCGTCCGTGTGCTACAGCCACGGATGCTGTGTAAGTGAATGAGAGAATACAACCCACAGCTGTAGTGAGAGTAATGAAATGTTTTGTGACTGAGGCTGCCTGGCCTGGTATCTGCAATAATCAAATCCTGGTAAGGCAATTTAGCAAGTTGTGGGGTTTTTTTTTCCAAGGGAAAACAGTTGGTTGTTCTTTTATTCCATCAGCTAGGCTGTGCATTCCACCCACTCCCCTCTGGCTGCTCTGCCTTGGCCGGGCTCTGCTCTCCTAACTGCCTGCTCACCACAGCTGGACCTGCAAGGCTGGACTGCCACTGAAGCCATCCTGAGCCTCATGACTGTCCGAGTCCAAGTCCCTGAGGAGAACTGCTGAGTTTGGACACTCCCAGACAGAGGCAAAATTCCTTAGCTCATCTCCATGCAAACATGATTATTGCCATTAAATACACACTGTGATACACAATGTCTCTGCAATGCTCCCTGATGAGCCCATGCACCAAACCTAATGGCTGCTGCTGTAACCAAACACTGAACTTGGCTGTGGAGGCACCACTGTGAGCTCGGCTCCCACCACTGATGAGTGGTCCGTGAAGCAGCCTAATGATTTTCTAGGGGTCTGAGATCATGGTAACACCATGAGAGTCGCACAGAAAAAGAGATATCTCCTTCCCTTCCCTCCCACTCCCTGCAAGGCTCATTTTGCAAACTGCAGCTGCTGAAAATGGAAAGCCAGCTAGAGCAGCACCACTCCGACGATGTTATGGAACTGGGATGCTGCAACAGAAATCTGCAGGTGGAGGATGAACATGCTGGGCTTCCAAAGCACTGGGTTTCAGTGGACTTACCCTCCCATTTGTGAGACAATAGACTGAGGAGCCGGTGGCACCACTGCTCTGTGGATATGGTGACAATGCCCTGTCTCCTGCCAGCACCACCAGGTACATCTGTGGCCACATCCTGCTGGTGCAGCTGATGGTTGCCACCCTGCAGCACTCTATGGCTGTCCCCAGGCTTGGCTCAAGACCAGGTGAGTAGCTGGTGGCCCTGGGCTTTGGGTCAGTGTATGAATCCCCTCCTGCCCCATCCAATCACTACCACCTCCTTTGTTGTTTGGCCTCTCAGGAATCTTAATGTAACCCATAATATTTAATGGGTTTGCTAGTGATAATGTAATTTTAAGTGACATAGATGTGATAAATCGCTTCCACACGTCACTGAATTCTGTTTCTAAATTTTTATGTATTTTTGATAGGCCAATTTATCCCTGCTGCAGCTCCAGCCCATGCAGTCAATGGCATTCCACTGGGGGTGAATTTTGTCTGCTATTTACAGTGTGTGCTTTTAAGCAGTGATTGGTGTGACAGTGTGATCTGTACAGCTGTCTCTCTGTATTTATTCTTTTGCCTATAAGTTTGATTTATACTAGCTTCACAAAAAAAAAAAAAGCTCATAGCTTTTCATGTGAATGACTTTAAGTAACTGATTAACGATTATTATTAGCATGGCTATAATGGAACAGGGGTTGCCAAGTTTGTAGGCTTGGCTGAGCAATTGCAGGTAAAGCTGTTGTGTGTCCCTCTCCAACTCTAAACCTTTTCTGAGGTTTCCTTTATAATTGGACAGTGCCCTCTGGGTTCAATCTGACTTGATGTGTCTGACACGAGGTTCACGGCGGAGCTGCCTGTGAGGGGGATGTCTGATGTTTGATGGCACCGCGCGGGTACCCGCCGGGAGCGAGGGGTGCTCTGCACCAGCCTGCTCCTGCTGGGGAGAGGAAAATCCACACCCCCAGATGACAGTGGTGACTTGCAGGCAGGCAGGCAGTGCTCAAGTGCTCTGCTTGAACTTGTGTTGTACTCGTCAGATTTGTTTTCATGAATTCTAAGAGCTTAAAATGGTGACTCTCTGAGGCAGAATCCTTTCAGGCTTGTGTCGCATGAAGAGCCCCTAAAGCTCTGTTTATAAAGCCAGCTCTCTGTGCATGACTCTGCGGCTGCAGAGAGTTGTCTCCTGCCCCTTCAGGTGCTGATTCTGCCTCAGTCTTGATTTAGTTGGTGCCACCCCAGGAATATCCTGGAGATTTTTGTAGGAATGCAGAGATGAGTTAACCCCCTCTGCTTGGCTTTGTGTTTCTTCTCTACTTCTGGACTGACAACAGCAGATTCCTGGTGGCCAGGAACACGTGCAAGCAGCAAAGCTCTGCTCCCATGTGTCCGTGTGTCCCAGGGACAGCACAGGGATGGGCTCCTTGCTGCTGAGCCCTGTCATGGAGAGCAGCACAACCAGCATTACCTTACACTAACCTGCCCTAAGGTGTCAATCAGTATCATTCAAGCAGCAAATTCTATCCCAAGAGAGTAGCTACTACATGGTTAACATTTTCCAGGACTGAGCCTTCTGAGATATTTATTCCAGTGTTATCCTGCTTGAACTACCACCTGTGGTACCAAATAGGAGGAAGGATGGCTACGTCAGTGAGACGTTCATGTTCTGCAAGCCAGGAAATGTTGTGTGTGTTTTCCTGAAGGTTTAAGTCCTGAATATGTTTGTTTTGATGTGTTTGCAAAAGGGGAACCAGAAGCAGAACCAGAGGTGTTCCATTTTCCCCATCATCATGCAGTGCAGCCATCCAGCTAGGAGTATCCTGGCTATTTGTCAGATTTGTCCTATCAAAGTCCTAGGAAGGGAATAATATGAAGTTTTTTCTTTTTTTTCTTTTTCTTTTTTTTTTTTTAGTTTTTAGTAAGATGGCAGTGCTTCAAAAGTAGTAGAGGATAAGGCAAAGTCTGGGAATACAAAACATTTTTATTGTTGTTATTATTAATCACAGCTCAAGCAGACCTGCCTGAGAATCCCTCTTGTTATTTTGCCTGCTTTCCTCTGGTTTATGTTCCCTGAGTAGAGTTTGATTAAAAACTGTTGCATCTCATTTTCCTCACAAGGGTTGAGGTGCTGTGTCGCTGTCACCTGTCTGTAGCCAAAATAACATGACATATCATAGAAGAGGCTGGATATTTGCTACTGGTTTTGATCTTCTTCAAAATATCGTTTTCACTTTGTGTAGCTAAAGAATAGCCGGCCTCCTGCCGTTCCTATTCACTTCTTGCCCTTGAATAATGAGAAAAAAATCTGCCTGCAATAAATGTTCAGCTTATGTTGAGGATTTTTCCAATACAGAAATAAAGTACTTTATGAAATAATGGTGCCATTCTCAGATAAACAGATATTTTTGCTGTTAACTTCATGAATAAGGGGTAGCAAGGAGGTCAGCTTTAGCTGAACTCATGCCAGAACTGCTTGGCCATTCAAAGTCTTTGGCCTTTCAGGCTCTTAGAGTTCTTTTTTTTTTTTTTTTGAAAATACTTTTAACTCATACAGATTTTACCTTCTTATGTCTAAAAAGAGCAGAATTATTACAGATGTAACAGTGTGTCTGTGGTGTTTCAATAAATGTGTATTCCTCGGGGCTGATGGATTCCATGTCCCTGCAATCAGCAGCACGGGAGTGGGCATCATGTGCCAGGAGGGGCAAATGCAGGTGGGAGGGTCAGTGTGGACCTCTGTGCTATGGAATTGTTTATGTTTGTCACCAGTCTCAGTGGTGCTCAGGAAATCTTGCTGTTGAGCAGTTTGTCTCTTTCCAGCCCTGGGACCCTCTTCTGCTCCCCTGCCTGCCCTGGCAATGATGATGTGGACATGGGGATGCCAAGGAGGTTGCTCACGAGTACCACAGTTGTACGAAACACACACATTTGCTAGCATGACTCTGCAACCAAACATCAGCTCAACTACTTTTTATTATTAATTTCAAGCTCCAGCTGCTGCCTTGAAGCATTGTGTTTTGTCATTCTGAGAGCTGCTGCTCCGAACAAACAAAAGAGAAAGAAAAATGAAAGCAAAGCCCCTAAAACTCGCTAGTAACGTAAAGTCTAGCAACGATGGCTAACCGTGTCTAATAATCCATCAGGGTGGCTCATCTGTCAGCTATGAAAATGTCACTCCTAGAGGCTTACTAAAGTTTTTTAAGGCCTAAGCAGAGTTTATTGCTCATGGCAACAGCACTGTGATGGCAGTGTGTGGTGATGGTACTGTGCAGGAGCCAAGAGAAACAGCCCATACCATGCAGGAACAGCACCAGGAGCATGGGCCAAATGTGTATCAGCCCTCCTTCAGTCCTGGCTGCAGAGGACAAAGTTTGTTAGTGTCTGGGTATATTTCTTTGGCCAGAGGAAGCCAAAAAATCCAGCAGTGTGGGGGTCTGACTCCTGGCCTAAGAGTAGGACCTGCTGCAGGAGGTTCCTTGTGTCTGCTTTCACACAACATGGCTTGTTAGTCTCTTATTCCTGCAAAGCTTTGCTCAATCATCTCTGCAGTACCAGTGTCATAGTGATGAAGACAAGGTACCTGTTGGGGATGTGGGGAGAGCAGGGACCAGCCCTCTGGCTTGCACTGTTCTTGCCAAAAGGCAGTGAAGGACATGCAGCTCTAATCCCGCCTGTCCTCTGCCAGCACAGGCCCTTTCCTCCCCAGCTGGGCTCTACCTGGCCAAGGCAGGACAGCTGTGGTGTGGCTCCATGGGAGATAGGGGTGAGTGCACAGAGGGCACTAGGGCTCCCAATGAGCCCAGGAGCTGCTGAGGTTGGTCCATCTGGAGTAAACTCATATTAAGGGCTTCACAAGCAGTAGTACATGGCTATTTATCACCAGCAGATACTCACTCTGTGCCTCTTGCAGTGTCTCAGTCACCTTCTCCACTCTCCCTTCCAGTGACTTTCCCTTTGCCCTCAACTAATCCATCATTTGGAAACAGCCTGTGGAGTATTTGCTGTTTTAAACTGCCGACCTTCAGACTTCGCTCCCATGACGGCTCCCAGTCTGCGTTGATCCCTTTTCCCTCTGGAGACTGTCGATACATTCTGATTTTGAAACAGCTTCACATAAAACTGGAAGGAGGTCTCAAATCCAGATCAAGCTTAATATTCACCGCAGATCCCCCACATCCACAGCCCTCCTGCAAGTGTTAAGCCATTCTTTTCACTCTGCTGCTTTGTAGGGCTAATGAATTTGCTGCTGCTATTCCCTCTGATGAGGGGATGGGAACAGTCACAGAATTGCTGTGAAAGGCTTAGAAATATATTTAAGTGGTTTGGATTTCTCTGTGAAATCTGAATTCAAATCCCCACTCTGTAAAAAAAAAAAAAAAAAAAAGGAGAAGCACCAACACTGAAGAGCAACAACTTAAAAAAAAAAATCGTTCACAGGGAGTCTGAGGTTTTGCTGCCTTTATCTCTAGACGGGAATGTTGTAGCATTGCCTACAGAGCCTTTCTTCTCTGCATTAGGCGAGCGAGGAGATTTCATTTCATACATCATTTACAATGGAGTGCATCAAGAGCAGAGTTGGTGCATATTAACAGGGATGTGGGGAAAGAGTTGGGTTCTTTGAAAGTTTCAAAGCATCTCCACTGAGGAGGGGATCCCAGGCTGCTGATTCCCTTTCACTCTGTTGTAGAAGCTGTGTGAACCAAAAGCCCATGAAATGGAAGGAGGAGAACAAAGGCACTGAAAGGCCTATAATGTGCCAGCATTAGTGGGAGCTGGAGTAGCACAGGGATGGTGTAGCTCTTCTATCTCTTCTCGCTCTCCTCACTGGCACCCGCCTTCCTGTATATTCACATCAGAGTGAGCACAGGGTCCTCTCTGTACTTGGAAAGGGTGGTCATGGGTTGGGAGAACATGAGGAAGATGTTGTCCCCTTTCCTCTCCAGCCCATCTGACCAGCAGCTGCCCATAATCAGGCTTTCTCCATTTCCTCCCACTGTACTTTAAGCCAGGTCTTCAGATGACTACAGAATGGCCACCCATTGTATTCATTAAAAAAGTGTTTTAGACAATGATTTGGTTTAAGAATCAGCATTATTCCTTGATAAATATATTTGAGTTGGTTTTGATTTCTTTCTGGAATTTGCAGGCATAAAATATACCTGAGAAAACTGGAAATTGTAACTCATGATGAACTTCA